TATATATATTTTTTCAAAATGCATCAATCCATTGCCGTGCCATTATTCATCATTATTTACATACAGAGCTCTCACCTATCCTTCACCATGCGCCTTTCCATCCAAGGAAGGGAGGGGGTTTACAACAAATTCAACGGACCTTCTTCAGCCGGACCGGTCGTAAAAATATCAAGTTACGTCACTTGTCCATTGAACGAGACGGCAAACGCACACCTCACGCGCTTCCCGGCCAACAACAACCACAACAACAACAACAACAACAACCACATCGACCAACAAGGGAACTCCAATGTTACGGCTCACTCGAAGACAGCGTCCACGGCCTCGCGTATCTTGACGATGAGGAAGGACCGCTTGCAGAACTGGACGAAGATCTCTATCCTTTGTCAGGAGGGCCTGCTCATCTGGGGGAGGGCGATGAGGTAGACGTTGCCCAGAATGGCCCCCACGACGAGTAGGAGCAGACTCACGGCCGAGACGAGCCTGACGAAGCGGACGAAGCTGCGGCCGCGAGCGTCCTTTTTGCTGTGCCGGGGAAACACGGCGAGGCCCAGGAGGGGCCCGGCTAGGGCCCCGGCGCCGTGCGCTGCCCAGCCCACGAGCCCGTAGCCCAGAAGCGCCGGCACCGGCATCGACGCCACGTCCGCCCCGGCCAACAGGAGCACCGCCACCAGCCGCCAGCCCGCGTAGCGCAGCTCACCGTGGCACTGCAATGCAACCCTTTTGCGTGAGTATACGCGCCACGACTTGGAAATCAACACGTGTGTGTACAACGAAATACACTACACTCGAGTGGGCCGAGTTATCGCGTGCTCTACGGAGCGCCATTAGGGTTGACGATAAATTATAGAATCAAGAAAACGAAATGGGGAAATATGAAAAAAAAAAAAAAAAAAGAAAAGAAAAAAAAATCCTAGAGCTCGCGGGGGCTTAAAACGAGCTCTGATGCTGTGACTCTTTGGGCACATTACTTTTGGTATCTCTCTCTCTCTCTTTGGTAGAGTTAGGATGGGTAAAATGGAAAAACGGAGCGAGGCAGGGAGCTTGAGCAGCCCCAAGGGAGTGAAGCTGTCTAGGGGTCGTTGAATAAAATTTTACGAGAGAGCGAGCGAAATAAAAAAAAAAAAAAAAAAAAATCAACCGTGCACGCTGCCATGAACAGATAGGGAGAGAGAGTGAGAGCTTCGTAGGCGAATGTAAAATATAACGGTGCGGAGATACGAGGGGGGGAGAAAAAAGAGCAAGCAGGTTGGACTTACCAGATAGAGATGAGCGAGGTGGCTGGTGAGCAGAGCGTACACCCCGGCGGAAGCGCCGACGAGATAGCGGTTCGGCTGTAGTAGGGAGGCACCAAGGGCACCACAGACACCGCCGCCGAGGTAAATCGTGCCGACCGCGAGCCGGCCCTGCTCCACCTGTGAATTTGCGTCAAATGTGTCTCTGTGTATGCCTGTGTGTGTATGTGTACGTTATGCCAGGGGGTGAGTTTACGTGCTCTATTGAAATGCGCGCCATTCGAGCGACCCTCTCCTTCGCTATGGGTACGGGGCTAATGGCGCGCTTTTCCGTAGCTCGCGCTCTAGACCGCGAATGTCATTATCAAGGCCCCCTTAACGAGCTATGCGCATTCATCGAATTACTCAAAGACGGTGAAGGTACTTTTTTTCTTCCCCCCCCCCACCTTTTTTTTTTTCGTTTCACCAACCGGGCCTTGTGTTTGGTTTTTTCTCAAGTGATACATTTGCATATCCTTACGACTGGTATAGTGTTGCTACTTTGCTATAATGCAAATGTAAATTTTTTCTTTAACTTGCACTAGATTGTCAAACGATTTCAGAATGTATGGGAATATATTACAGTGTTTGCAATCTTTTTTTCTTTTTTACACCTCTTGAGTATCTATTATTGAATATTGAATATGTATGAATATTGTAAAACAAAACATGTAAACCAATACTCGTACGAAAAAAAAGGAATTACACGTTGAAACTTTGTGTATGTTCACTCGATAAAAGTTTCAAAGCCGATAATATAATTTAAATGAGCCGCTCCCACGTGTACGTAAAAGATTACCGCACGAGAATGGAAAACAAAAAAATGTCCACTTTAATTAGTCGGATTTACGTAATTACGGTGCGCTCAAATATAGGGCAAAACAACAGAGTCGTACGTACAGCGGTGAAACTTGGTTAGTTTTTTTTTTNATTCTTGACTTTGACGGCTATGATGGTGGCGGTAATGACAACGAACCGAGCAGAGTTTAGTTATAGCTGCTTCAGCGCTATTGCTTTCTCAAAAATGGTACTGAAGATTGTACATCGACTGAAGAAATTGTGTAATATGTATTTTTTTTTTTTTTTTTTCATACGATCACCTACACGTTACTTTTCCCACACACACACTCGGCTATGGAATTTTCTTAGCCTTGCCGCGCGCACTTTGCGATCCCTTTTATTGTTTTCTTTTCCCTTGACTTTCAACCTATGGCCCTCGAAACAGTAGGTGCAAAGGAGTAAGAGGGAAAAGAGAAACGGCCCGAAGGGGGGACACAAAGGATCCGAGTGGAAAAGTGCAGCCAGAGAACAGAGCAAAGACCGCATTGTCGGCCTTATTGAATTGGCCTAATTGGAGGGGGTGGTGGTGGTGGATGAGGCCGGCTTACCTCAAGTGGAGTGGCCAGTAGCAGCTGAATGAGCACGTTCGTCGCGAGGTGAAGGGCGTTTGAGTGCAAAAGCATGTAGGAAATAAACCTCCAGCCCTGGATACGCTGCTGGGTGTCGTAGATCAGCCAGTCGCGCAGCGTCGCGTCGTCGCCCAGGAAGTGAACTGTTATCTGAAAGCACGACAGAGAGTATATATGTACGCTCGTTCTTTTCCTCTTTTTTTTTTTTTTTTTTTTTTTACTCCATCTCCATCATTTGTTTTTTTTCTTTTTCTCCTTTTCCCCCCTTTCCTTTTTTGGTAGCTCTACTTTCGCGGCCCTGCCGGTGCTTCTTGACTGTGGTTTTTACTCATAGGCTATGTACAAAAGGACTGCTGCCCTGTACATTGTACCACTCCGTTAGGAGCGACCAACTTTTACTACTACCTTTTTCTTAAAGCTGAAGCTTAACTTTGGACACGCACTGAAGCTTAAACAGAAGTTGAATCGGAGCAGCGTAACATTGCACAGGTTATTGTTTTTATATTAGTAAAGGTCGCGTGATCATTTGGTTTAAAAAAAATCTTTTCATAAGAAAACAATTTCATTGAAGACCCATTTATGGCCCATTTGATAACATCCGTATTTTATTTAACTTGCAGTTGGATGAAATGGAAAAAAAATAGACCAACGAGCGTAATCAAATAAATGAACAACTCTCATTAATTAAACCTTTTTTTCAATCGGTCAATCGTATGCAATTTAATTTACAAGTCTACCAAAGTTGGCGAATGAAGTAAAAAGCTCTTTTTCGATTTTTGAATCAAATTGAACCCAACTCATAAGCTGCTTTTTTTTCGACATTTTTGAATAAAATTCATCCATGCGAGCTCTTTTTGAACTTGTGAATAAACAAAAATTGAATTCGCCAACCCTCAAAGAGCTTCCAATAAACGCATGAGACAAATCCAAAAAGGAGCCCGTCAACTCGATTTCATTTGGTTCAAAAGCCCGGGCAAACCTTCCGACTTGGGGGGGCTTTTTAATCCTGAAATTTTTGATCCCACTTTCGACGGACGAAAAAATGCAGCAACATTCCTTTTGGGAAAAAAAGCACACAAAAATTGTTGAAACCCGAGTCCGACGTGCAAGCACAGATAAGAGCGTAACAAAGGGGAGACGCTCAATCATGTCGAAAGAATCCGCGCAGCGAGTGACTAAGCTCATCTCGCGAGACCGAAAGCTCGGGTGGTATAATTCCGGCCACCCCCTGGTTTTCAGCGAGCGCCTGCTCCCTTTGTCCCATACAACATGCACGCGAGGCTAAATTGCACTTTGTATCTCATTCACCTGTCGGGGAAAGCTCGCCTCCCTGATTACAACAAATTTCGACATTACACATCCAACCGAAGTAGCACCAACAACACCCAGCAGCTCCCTCGCATTAAATATACGCGTACAATTGCACACTCGCACGTGCATTAGAGCTTTCTCCTCGGCAACAATGCTAATTTGTGGGGCCAGCTCTAATTTGTCGAGTGTGATAACGCGAGGACACGCAGTCGGGCGGAAGCACGATCCTTCAAGGACCGCATAACAGCGCGCGACGCAGTGGACGTGGCAGTCCCCGGCTTTCACGGTTCAAACTTGGGATAGTGGGCGTACGCGCTGCTGCGGTTTTAAAAACTTTGTCGTTATTGCGACAATTTTGAACTCGCGCGTTATATGTATATTGACGTTTCAGATCGCGCATGTGTGCTCATTCGCGTGTTTTGCGATATTAATTTTTTTTTTTCATCCTTCCCCCCACCAAAAGCTTCATATCATCGGAAAACGAGAGCATTGTTATACAAAATATCTACATTTTTGTATCGTGTATAAGTAATGAGTCGCAAAGGGTGTCAGTATATTGTCACAGCAGCATTTCTGTTTCAAGCAGGAATAAAAAAAAAAAAAAAGAAAAAAAAATTGTCGATCAACCATATACTGTGGAGACAAAAACAATCGAGTACGTATTTACGGAGAACAAACTGTTTCCTCTCCCTTTTTCATTATGATTCGAGCACAATCAGTCCGAGCCTATCTCACACAGCATCCCCGAAATACATCAGCTCCGTGGGAAAAAATATAGGCACTTGGGAGAAAAAGAAAAGCCACACAATGCATCCTGCGGTGCGTTATTGGATGACACCTGCTCGCAGGGTCTGTATATTCCGTCCAACCGGACCGGCGTGGATATTCGTCAAAGCGGAGCTTGCAAAGCCGACACCCTGGACGCGCGCACGTACACGCTCGCATATACCCGCCGCGTGTTACCTCTCTGCTTTAATGAAGATTGAAGAGTGCAGGCGAGAGAGAGAGAGAGAGAACAACGGCTGTAAATAATTATTACGCTGTGAGAATATGAGCTGGCGCTTGCTGTGCACCTGTCGTCTATACCGTGCGCGCGCTGTATTTTCCGCTCTCACTGCCGGGGTATTAATTTATTAACGCCTTCGTCACTCGCGGGCCTCGATATTTCATTTTCCCAGCCATGGTATATATACATGCAGTGCGCGCGTATGTATATATATAATGCGTTTACGCGCGTCAACGAGGCGGAGGATCGATGCGCGATGAATTTTATATTCCTCCTCGCTCTGCGGCCCGGCTACCATACCATGAGTGTACCTGCCCCCACGCGAGTGCAGCTGTCCTTTTTAATTTTGCCGGAAAAGTCTAATGCGTACACACGCGGGTTCATCTTTAATGCGAAAGAATGGCTCTCTGCAGTGGGCAAAAGTATACGAGCTTTTTCGTGATTCCGAACACGCGACCTGCGCAGACCTGGTGGCATGGGACATGATTCGTTTTCTTTTTTCCTGCTTGATATTTACCCAGGTGTGGAGACAAAACGAAAAAAAATCTTAATTTTTAAAATAGTTGATGCCAAGCTTGTCGGCTTACAAAATATCAGCATGACTAAAGTAACCTTCGTATTTATAGATTTTGGAACCCTCTGAGTCAGATTTGAGTCATTTCTCGACAAACTCGTGAATAATGAATTATTTTCAGTTCGCTACTTAAACGACTGGGTAGCAATACGTTGCTATAATACCGTACTTTAAACGTAAGAAATTCAATTACATTCGTCTATTTTATTCCTTAACAAACAGCTCTCGAAAGCGACATAGAATAGCTTCAAGCCGAAAATCAGCTTTGCTAATTATGCCCTGGAGTACAGGCAAGAATCAAAACGAAAAAAGAAAATCTTCAAATAAGAAAGATCCTCTCCCGTTTTTCTCGTTTTACCACGAAAATCTGCCTATTCTTCCTCCCGTTTAGCAGAGTAACGACTGCATAAATGGCCCTCTAAAACATAAAAACGAAAAAAAAGGAAAGCGAAGCTGAAGAGAGAGGGGGCGCGGGGTAATACAACACAAGAGGGCACTCACGAGGTCACCGCTTTGGCAGTATGCGGCGCTTATTACGTTACGAGCCCAAACCTTTTCTCCCGTGGCATACATAACATTTACTTCCGGTACTCGGAAGAGGAGGGAAGAAAAGGCTGGGGCAGCGTTTTACCCCTTGATGCACCTGCACCATTCGAGCCTTTGAGTCTCGCGAGGAGCATCTTTTCTTTTATCCCCGAGCGCTCCCTTACGCGCTCATTAAACGCTAAATTCCTTGCACTCGGCTCTTTTACCCAATCTTTTTTTCACCGCCCGCGCGACTTTTTTTTCTCGTTTTGGTATAAATCCTTGATTATCATCCTTCGTCTTTCGGCTTAAAAGCTTCGAGCGAATTCGAGAGGAATGAAGAATTCGATTTCAAGTCAGTATTTCGATTAAGCGTCCTCGAATTGCCGGACCGATGGAACAAAAACATTTCATCGCGTTAGAGAATTTTGAGTTGTTCTCAAGGAAATAAAATATTTACGAGCCTCCGAGAATTTGATCCAAGGGGAAGAAGGAGGCCGCCTTGTCTTGAAACATGATGTGTCGTTATTGTTATTCATAACGAGTTACTCTCAATTATTTTTTTAACTTTAGTCACAGCCTGACAGCAAAAAAACCCTTACAGCTCATCGTTGATGGTATATATTCTATTGCATTATCGATGACTTTTCATTTTTAGCAACCTCAGAAATAGACATGGACAAATAGGTAATTATCAAAACATCGGCAATTTAAAATAATGATTTTGTTAACTACTCGGCAAGTTGGAAGAATATTTGAAACAAAAGTCCTAATTGACACTTGGCGTGTTCAAGAAATAAAAAACAATTTATCGATGTGCGATATGGTTGGCAGGGGAAGAAGCTATAGAGATCGAGAAATTTGATCTGGAAAAATAATAGAGGCTCACTTTCTATTGTATCTACCATATAAAAACAAAATCAAATTATATTTGCTGTAGTATATATCATTAAAAAGTACTTCAACAAATTTTCATACGTAAGCAAGGGATAAGTGACAAACCATCGATATGCACAAACGCCCCTTCTTCATTTCTATTTTTAATGAGTATTTTTCCTGTTGATGGGTCGGCGCGTTATTTCATTTTCTAAAATACAGAGGTAGTTTTTCATGTAAACTGTAATTAAACTGCAATTATATCCAATTGTTACTTGCTTCCTTTGAAGTGGGTCGCGAGATTGTAATGTTCATTGAAACAACAACTTTCCGTTAAGATGGACGTGCTACCACTGAATTTTTCTGTCTTACGTCTTTGTGGTGTCTGGTATGAGGAAAACGAAAAGTTTGGATTCTGTAGAAAAGTGTACCGGTTCTTTGTGGTAGCGATTATTTTTTACTTTACGCTTATACTAGATGTTAATCTTGTTATAAATAACAGCTACATTGAAGATCTAATCGAGTCTCTGTTTTTGGCTTTGGGGTTCTTGAACAACTGCGTGAAGATCATTCATTTTTTATGTCGTCGAAACATCGTGATAGAAATAGTGCAAGATTTAAAAATTCCATACTGTAAAGCCAAAAACAACGAGGAAGCAAAGATACTGGAAAAACACGTGAAAACGTCAAAGTGGCTCTTTGTATTTTTTATGTGTTTTAATTTATTGACTGTCTTGTTTTTTTTTTACGATATTGTATCGAAAGTAATTAACAAGCAACGTTTGCCATTCGAGAGATTCCAATTTTACGAAAACTCAAGTCCTCTAGTTTTATATCTTATACTTTGTTTATATATATTATCAGCTTTCTATTGTGTTGTAATCAACGTGTCCATCGATACCATGTCCGCTGCATTATTTACATTGATAACTGGACAATTGGAGTTAAATGCCTACAGAATTAAGAAATTACATGGTGGCGATATGGTCCGTATCAAGGAGTGCATCGATCATAATCTATTGATTTGGGGAGTGACGAAAAAAGTGGAATCTTTCATCGTCGGATTTATTATACCGTTCTTTTTATGCAACTTGTCATGTGTTTGTGCAAGCATGTTTCAAGCCTCTGAGGTACAATATTTTTACATTTGGAAAAAATTTCGTTTTTGCAAATATTCAATTATCTTTTCCGTAGTACAACCTATTTAGCTCTGATTTCGTGAGAGCTTGCGTTTTCTCTTCGAAGATTTTGCAGTATATCTTCATTTATTGTTGGTTCGGTAATCAATTAGCATCGACGGTAAGTTTTTTGTTTTATTTCTATCAATCTATAGGAAAAACTTTGATTTGTCGTTTTATGGTTCCATAAAAACAGAGTCAAGAAATATCTGATGCGATCTACAATAGCGATTGGATTTCCATGGATATTCGAGAAAGGAAACATTTGTTATTTTTGATGACTTGCAATACAAGAGGCCAAAGTGTTTCCTGTCATGGACTGTGTACACTAAACTTGAACACATTCTTATGGGTAAATAATATGAGTCAAAATTTTCAGCAAATTATAGGGCAGAAAGGTTCGTTATTGATTTTGCTTGGACTGTATCTTTGGTACGGTAATCATTTATAAAGCATAATCAATATGCTGCACTCTAGTTTGTATAATATTATAGTATTAGCTTATGTGTGTTTTATTAACCTTCTAATTATTCATAAATTTACTTTACAGATAATAAAAATGTCGTATTCTGTAGTGAATTTATTACGACAAGTTCATTCAAGAGCTTAAACCATGTAATACATTTTTTCAACGAAGTTCCAAAAGCTTCTAGTTATAATAACAATATAGTTGTTTCGGAGTGAAAATATTATACTTTGTAGTTCAGTAAATAAAAGTATGTGTTAAAATGATTTTTTTAAAGTTTGGATGATGTGTCACAAAAAAATCCTTTTGTAGTAACCAATAAAATATTTCTAAATAAACCGCTCCTAAAATGAAAGAGTTGACAACAATCTCTTGCAGTGCAATTCAAATGAAAATACAGTTTGAGAACTTTTCATGAAAATTAACCAACGATCAGCTCGTCTTTACTATATTTTTCAACATTATACTCAACAGCAGAGCACACACTAATATTTAATGTCATTGTAAGTAGAACAAATCGAGTTTGGTCAGACATACAAAAAGGCGCTGTCAAAGGTGTGTTGGAAAAAAATTCTCTCCAGCTCATCCTGTTCACCGCAATTAAATATTAAATGGTAAACACGAGTGAGAAGAAGGTACAGAAGAGAACAGGCGAAAGCGCGACCGATTTTCCGCGCCAATCGGTTTCTCGTTTCCCGGGGGCGCGTACATCGGTGGATCCCAAATCCATCCCCGAGCACTGCAGCTTCGGCAAAACTCCCTCGTTCCGCCCGCACGTGTTGCCTCGTACGAAAATTTCACAGGCGCGTAGCTCTCTTTCACGCTCCATCTAGCCCGACACGCCAGCTGGCCTCCTCCCTTGCCCCGCCACACCCCGGGATTTCGACAGAGCTGCGGTTCGGTTCGCTCAAGTTTATGCATTTTAGCGCGCAAATTTGCACCCTGGCCGCATCCATGTTGTGAGCTATGTCGCAGAGTTTGTCGCGCGGAAGGAAATCTAGCGTGCGCGCTTACGAGGGGGGGAGGGCTCCGACGAAATTATTATATCGAGGGGAGAGTAATGCGGCGTGGGGCAACTCGCTGATACTCCGGGCTTCTTGTTTGCCAAGCGTACCGGTGTGACTCTGTTCGTGTACGTTACATAGTTTTTCTCTCAATTTGCCCCGAGGGAATTTTTCAGTTAAGGACATTGGGACAGGATACTGATACTGATACGTGGTTCATTGCATGTTTCATCAGTTTTTCTTTCATTCCTCATGCAGTTGTTCACCACCCACTGTATGTCAGCCGTCGCAGTTGTTATTTTAATGTCATTATTGTTAAAATACGCTAACAAGTATTCATTCTTAAGTGGATAATATGAGGAATCAAGAAAAAAAAAAATTTTTTTGAACCACGGAGACATTGCTAGGAAGAAAAAAAAGACTCTACTGAATAGCTTAAACAGCAAGAAAAAAGAAAACCAACCTCGATCAAACTGATGCATATCATGAGGTAGGGCGGCCTTATCCGGAATTTGGGCTTCCTACTGGGGCGCCGGCCATGCACGATCTTGGTCGTGAGTTCTTCCTCGTCTTCGTCCAGCTGCACTTTGTTGGCGAACAGCGGAGTGTTCATCATCGGCGAGTCCGGCGACGGACTGTCCACGTACGTCTGGTCCGTGTAGTCCGAGGATATCGTCGACATTGTCGGGGAGCCCTCCAGCAGGGCCGCCTCCACGTCGATCATCTCACCTGCGCAAACAATATGCCGATTTGGCTCTGGTTAATCAAAATAACCCGTGTTTCCCCTTTCCAATAAAATGCAACTTATGATACGTTTCAAATTATAAATCATTGGTCATTATCCAACGGTATGTAAACCTGCAGGTACAATATAAAAATTAGCATTTGGAAAATCGAGTAGAACCGTGATTTCAGATGAACAAAGAGAAGGAGGAGGAGGAGGAGGAGGAGGTGGGAAAACTAATTTACAGTTGGAGATGCGGGAGATGGAAGCCCATCAGCGAGCTAACAGGGAAAGGGTGGGAAGGGAGTCTGATTAGCCCGAGCAAACGCTCCGAGGAGCCGTGGTGCACGTCGCTATGAGAACAAACGAGCTGCAACGGAGAACAGCTGGAAAGGAAACCACTTTTCCTCGTGGTCTTTTTACGGGCACGCGCGTAGCGGGAAGTGTTTATGGTATTTCGCTCGCCTGAATTACTGTTCGCGAGCGAGCGATGGAGCGTCTCGACGAGAGTAGAATCGACGTCGTTTGTCTTCCCGGTAGCAACAGCAGCAGCTCGTTCGCTTGCATAATTGAGGCACATCCGCCTTAGCTACTACTACTACTACTACTACCACTGCTGCAGCTATACGACTGGGACGAAAACAAATTCCATCCAGTTTCCCAGCAGCCCTTTGACCCCGTTAAGCACCGGCCTTACCCGCTAGACCCAAGTTCCAACGAATCGTTAAGAGGGACACCGATTTAGCACCACCTTACCATCAGCCCCGTGTGTAATTCGGAGATCCTAGAGCCGCACACTCGCAAACACGTGCTGGCTGGCGATTCCGGGCTTTGAGAAGGGGGTGGCTCCGGCGTTTACTTTAATCGGGTTAAAAGCCCCGAGGAATCTTCCACGGTTCACGTAACTTTCGATCCCCACCCGAGATCTTAATGAAGCGCTAGCGCGATGATGGTTTAATCTTGCGAGTAGACAATATTTGGACCAACTATTTCCATTGAATCATTTTTGGCATTAAATGCGTTGCATAAGGGAGGAGTGGACTGTCTATGGACGAGCCGATTTACTTCACTTCATTCCGTTTACGTTTCTGTCTCGCGTGTTTCTTAAATAGGGGGCAAACGGCCCTACATTCAAGCAAGTCATAAAGGCAGAAAAAACTACGTCACACGCACGAATGATTTTTTTTTTCCTGTAAATTTATTTAAACAGTATACTTGGCAAAATTTTAAATGTTCAGTTAGTGCTTACTCTAATATATTAAAGCCATAGCAATCTGGAGAGGTTGATATTATGGTATGGGGTGTTATGGGCACTGATAGTAAAGCTGAAAAATATCATCAAGTCGATAAGAAATTTTGATAACTGATTCAATAATGAAGAACAATTCATAAGTAAATGGAGTGTTATTTGAATGACAGATATTTACTTAAATTGGGACAAATTAATGTTACATTTTTTTATGGCGAAAGAAATATTAAAGGACAAAGATGGAACTTGCAACGATGTGATACTTGTGACTGGGATATTTTCATATGGAAATTTACTGCCGTGAAATTTAATTAAATGCGATGGTAATTGAAATCAATACCCATTGTATTATCATATGTGGATATTTGATATCCTTGAAATCATCAAATTGCAGAGAACTTCGTGATTTATTTAACATTAAACTGTGAGCTGTAAAAGCTTAATGCTATAGGTCAGAGAAAAATGACTCCGTCATAAAACGCATTTATCTTTATTTATTGAAATTTACTAAATATACACGAAATTAAATCATTCTAATGAAAACATCACAAGGTGAGTTTCGAGTATCGAATTTCAATTGTTCACCATAAGCTTTTTCACAGTATTGAATTTTCAATAAAACATGAGATTCATTATCGCCAGTCATACTCTTTTCATAAAACACGTCATAGATTGATTTAAAAATCAAGACACCGATCACTGAGGACCAGCAATATACCCTTCTGACCGAAATGTTCGAATAACCGCGACAGCCATGGATCTCCTATCACTAAAGTAATCACATCGAAGCTTCAAAATTCCAAATCACCCGCAGTACCACAATCGAAGCAATGACGCCTACCTTGCTCCACGACACGCAGTGCACGTTGAGTATAACCTGTGCAAAATCGGCGGCACCCATCAGGAAAGCTGGGCGCGCCGTTGCTCGTGCTCGTGTATACCTTCCTTGCCTAATGAAGCATTGACGTCCACGTCGTCCGAGCCCCCGACTCTTCCTACTTCTTCCTTCTCTCTCTCTCTCTCTCTCTCGGTGCTATTATGCCATTATATGCTCTCTTACTCGTTTTCCGTCGCGTTTCCACGCCCGAGAGCATCCACCGGTAATCAGTATAATAAGCCTCGCCCGTGCACATACATAGCGCTCGGCTCGCTCGTTAGGAGGCCATTAGAAAATGTCCGGCCGTGCAAGCGGTGGATAAGCACCCGAGAAATGATAGCCCGTTGCTGTTGCTACTGCGTTATCTCGCTGAGGCTTGAAATTTTCGAGCTCCATACAACTCGAGCGGTATATATATGTATAGCCGTAAGTATGCAAATGGGCGAGTATAGGTGCTCGACTTGATAGCGGGGGTTTGTGTTTGAAGGATCTCTCGCGTGGATGATGATGGAGTCGTACCGCGAGATGGAGAATTATTTCGACGAGTGTACTTGCACTTGCAGTTCCAACATTTTTTTTTTTTTTTTTTTTTTTATGGACAAATTACTGTGTGCTTCTTTTCGATGCGATGCAAGGTGTTTGCGTGAATCAATGTCTCGTGTCGATTATCTTTTCCTACGTTTGGGTACCTTGTCTTTTTTTTTTTTTTTTTTTTTTTTTTTTTTTTTTTTTTTACTCCATCTCNCCGGCGTAATTTTTTTTTTTTTTTTCTTTTTTTTTGTAAAATAATCACAAGCTGTGATTGATTATCCATCGAAACCTTGAAACCTTTGCCTACATTTATTTGAGAAAAGGATCACTTGAGGAGAGCTTAGCATCTCGGATCGCGGAAGAGTCTTGTGGTTTTAATTAATCATTAAAATATATTACAGTATTAATTTTCAGTATAGAAACAATTTGGTACCAAGTATACGCAGTTGTGGTATATAATCAATAGAATCGCAAAGTAATACCTTTCCACGTAAATCAAAGCTCGATCGTCTTGGGAAGAAAACAACAACTCGCGCATCTTTGATCGACTTACGAATGCTCCTTGGAATATTTCCATAGCCAAGATACGCACGGCAACAATAAAGTATAATACAAACAAGTACACCAAACTAATGGCAACAGCACTTGAGGGACTCACTCGCGGTGCGCTTTGATCCGAGATAAAGAGAACAAAAAAAAAAGACAATAACGAGGACAGTGAGGATCCCTCCTTTGTGCGCACAGAGCTACGAAATATAAACGCGTACAAGTGCTGAAATAACTTACGTAGTACCTGTATACATGCACGGGAGCTTTTTCCAATAGACTCTTGCGCAATCGCCAACTACGACATCGCGAGCTCAAAGAGCTGCGGAATCACCTCGCGTTTTATTCGACGACGTGGACGCGACTCGTTCGCAAAGTTCCAGTTCTCTTTGAGCCCACTTTTTTTTTGCTCTCCAACAAACGTCAGACATAAAACAACGACCCCGGGGATCGGGGAGTCGATGACACTCTGGTATAGTCGCAAAGCAAGCATTGATTGCGATTCAGAAAATAAAGGAGCAACGAGACAGGGGACGCCGGATGAAAAAAGTATATGACCACTGGCAATCGAGAGATCGTTGCCGACGTTGTTTGCGCCACAGCTGTTTATATTTCTACTTTTTTCTTTCTCCCCTTTGTCAACTAATTCAGACAGCATCGTGTTTCGCTACGAGTGGGAAAAAGAGTACACGAGTTGCATCGTTCGGACGGGCGTTTCGCGGGTCCAAGTCGGCGTCTGAAGAATGAGAGGAGTTATGGAAAAGACGAGATCCGGTCGACTCGGGGAAGAAAACCAATAAAAGATATCGTAATTGCAAGGCATTGCTACGCGAAAGTAGAAAAATAACATCACGTGAGATCAGGTGGTATGGATTTATCTTTTGTTAAATAACTTTATGCTGTATATATGATATAATACAGTAATTCATCTTGTTTGGTCATCATTGGATTAAAAATTAGCCTTTGATCGTGTTATTAGATAGTCACTTGTAACACAGAAACGAAGACCTATTACAGAGTGATTTTACCTTGGTATTGGAAAATGGGCGCATGTAATAACTTTATAAGCCCGATGGTTTTTTTTTGTTTCTCTATTAATCATAAAACCTACTCAAAGTGAAATACGTGGATGATATTTTGACGAAAAACGATGATGCGTGAAAATTTACATTATTCTTTTCAAGGTTTATGAATAACGAGTATATTTTTTTAGGTCAACTCAAGGTGAAACGGCACAAAACTGTGATTATCGAAGTTTGATTCGAGAAACAAGCTTGTGCAAAAATGCAATTGTATATCAATGCACGAAAGGGCAGTAATGCTCGTAGTAAACACTCAAAGTAATTAAAACAGCACATATACTACGCAAGTGAGCTCTTTTAATATAAAAAGTGAGTGCAATTACAAGCCATAGAAACAATTCTCTGTGTAATGATGGGGCAAAAGAGCCTCGTTATGAGTTAATTAATCAAAACTAGATGAAAGACAATGGGTATGAAAAATTTTCCAATATGTCGCCCGTCATCATCAAAGGGAAATTTGTTGAGCTTCGAGCTTACATCCACTGCGTCGTGAGGTATTAGTCATATATTTCATCTTTATTGACATCATTAATCAGCCACTGATTAATTTTCACGAAACGATAATATATTACCACCGTAGTCGTTAAAGCGAATTTTGTTCAAACGTCGCTCAAACGAAGCGTACGAGTGCACACTACAAAGACTGTCACGGCTCTTGTTCGACCGTCAAAATATACATCGCCAATATCAATGTAACTACGTACATGCGACGAAATTTTA